TCTTTTCCTCAGGTGTCCCAATCATGGTTTCAATGATGCGTTCAAGGTGGGCACCTTCTATCACGCCCTCTTCCTGGAGGACAAGCAGCTGATTGACTCGGTTTGTGGCGGGAACATGCTGACCGAAACACCGCCACAGCTGAATCAACTCTTTGAGGAGATGGCGGAGAACGGGTACGATTGGGGAACTGCCAGGAGATCGAGACGAGCACCAGGACGTGGTGTGCATGCTGTGGGCACCCAGTCATCTGGTTTGGTGCAGGTGGTATCGAAGCTGGTGTCAGCTATCGATCATTCTGGTTTGATTGCAGGTACAGGACAACCGCAGGCGATGCACTGCCAGTGGTGTGAGAGCTCTCATCACACCGTAGAGGACTGTCAGGCGATGAGGGAATCGTCCACTCCCCAGGAGCAGGTGGACTTTATCAGTAATGCCAGGCGCTTCGACCCCTACAGCAACACTTATAACGAGGGGTGGCGCCAGCATTCTAACTTTTCTTGGGCTGGGGAAAATCCCAAACCACCAGCTCCTCAGGGACCACCTAGCTTCCAGAGGCCTCCGTACCAGCCCAGACAGGGGCAATTTCAGCAGCCACAGCAGCCACTCTACCAGCCCAGACAGGGGCCAGTTCCACCACAATCACAGGTGCGACCATTTCAGCAGACAGGAGCAGCACCTGCAGCTCCAGTACAGAGTGACCCGATGGCGGAATTGAGAGATTTGGTGGGTTCTCTGGCCACCTCCAGTGCGAACAAGTTCAATAACATCGAGCAATTCATGGAGAAAGCTTCAGGCAAATTCTTGGAGCTAGAAGCTGGTCAGAGAAATACACAGGCTTTGCTGCGGGATATACAGACCCAGCTTGGGAGTGTTGCCCAGGCTGTAGCTCAGAGGAGTCCTAGTACCTTGCCTGGTCAGACCATCCCTCACCCGCAGTACCCGAATGCCAACTGCAGTGCCATCACAACCAGGAGTGGCAAGGTGACTGCTGATCCACCTGTTCAGGCAGAGGAGAGAGAGACCCATGCTTCAGCACTTCCAGCTAATCAGGAAGAAATGGAGAAGGAGGTTGAGGTGCCTTCTCCTAAACCGCAACCAGTGGTGAAGGAGTATGTACCACAGCTTCCCTTTCCTACTCGGTTGCACAGGGACCGACTGGAGACTGAGTTTGCCAAATTCATGGCAATGCTGAAGCAGGTAAACATTAGCATGCCCTTCGTGGAGGCATTATCGAAGATGCCCAAGTATGCCAAGTTCATGAAGGATCTCCTCACCAACAAGAGGAAGCTTGGGGAGCTGTCAACGGTGATGCTCAACGAGGAGTGTTCTGCCATCCTGCAGAACAAACTACCAGAGAAGCGAAAAGACCAGGGAGTTTCACTATCCCTTGCATGATTGGTAGTTTGCATATAGGGAAGTCCTTGGCGGATTTAGGCGCTAGCATTAATGTCATGCCATATAAACTGTTTAAAAAGCTAGGCCTAGGTGAACCCAGTAATACTAGGATGAGCATTCAACTTGCTGATAGATCCATTGTGCATCCTAGGGGTATAGCAGAGGACTTGATAGTCGTAGTAGGGCCATTTTCATATCCTGTTGATTTTGTGATTTTGGACATAAATGAGGATGTTGATGTGCCATTGATACTGGGTAGACCTTTTCTCGCCACCGCCAAGGCGCTTATTGATGTTAATGATGGAAAACTGATTTGAGAGCTGGGGGTGAACAAATCACCTTCTCTGTTTCTGATAATATGAAACACCCCCAGCTCCATGATGATCTAGATTACTGTGATGTTGTTGCTGATTTTGAGACCGCACTCGCCATCACGAGTGCGGGTACTGATGATTTCCTTGAGCGTTGTCTTTTGCTAGGGAAACAGGCATCACAGGATGTGCAGCTGGAGGAGCAGCTGGCAGAGCTGGACGAGGCCATGATCGAGAGGCGAGAGATACCATTCAAGCCGATCCCCATCTCGCCCCGGCTCGCTACATCATTGGAGTAGCCACCAGAGTTGGAGCTTAAGCCCCTCCCATCTCACCTGGAGTATGCATTTCTCCGGGAGGGGAATAAGCTCCCGGTTATTATTAGCTCAGATCTGACACCCGACCAGAAGAGCAAGCTGGTGGCTCTGCTGCAGAAGTACGCCCGGGCCATGGCATGGAAGATCACAGACATCAGAGGCATTAGCCCATCCTTCTGCTCCCATAGAATTTTGATGGAGGATGAGGTTAAGCCAGTCAGGCAGCCATAGAGGAGATTGTCTCCTAACTTGGAGGCAGTGGTCCGGGCAGAGATTGTGAAGCTCATGGATGCAGGGATCATCTTTGCTATATCTGATAGCAAGTGGGTCAGCCCCACTCAGGTGGTCCCGAAGAAAGGCGGGATGACTGTGGTCCCGAATGAGAAGAAGGAGTTGATCCCGATGCGGACCGTGACCGGCTGGAGAGTCTGCATCGATTACCGACGCCTGAATGACGGCACCAGGAAATATCATTTTCCCCTACCTTTCATTGATCAGATGCTGGAGAGGTTGGCTGGCCATGAGTTCTATTGCTTCTTGGATGGCATGTCTGGTTACTTCCAGATTCCTATTGCACCGGAGGATCAGGCGAAGACCACATTCACTTGCCCTTTCGGTACCTTTGCTTACCGGAGGATTCCATTTGGACTGTGTAATGCACCGGCGACCTTCCAGAGATGTATGCTGGCGATCTTCGACCGACTGGTTGGAGAGATCATGGAAGTCTTCATGGATGATTTCTCGGTATATGGAGACTCCTTCACTCACTGTCTCCATAACCTGGAACTCGTTCTGAAGAGGTGCGAGGAGACTAATCTGGCACTCAGCTGGGAGAAGTGCCATTTTATAGTTCGTGAGGGTATTGTGCTCGGGCACAAGATCTCCAAGCAGGGGATTGAGGTGGATCGCGCGAAGATTGAGACGATCAGTAAGCTACCTCCTCCCGTTTCTGTGAAGGGGATTCGCAGCTTTCTGGGTCATGCAGGCTTCTACCGGCGCTTCATCAAAGATTTCTCGAAGATTGCCCTGCCTTTGACCAAGCTGCTAGAGAAGGATGCACCATTTCAGTTCACTCCCGAGTGCACAGCTGCATTTGAGACTCTGAAGGAGAAGCTTACCCATGCACCTATCATGGTGACTCCTGACTGGTCTCTCCCTTTTGAGCTGATGTGCGACGCAAGTGACTATGCAGTCGGAGCATTTCTAGGTCAGAGACGCGAGAAGCACTTCCAGCCCATCTACTATGCGTCCAAGACCTTGAACGATGCACATGAGAATTACACCACCACAGAGAAGGAGCTCCTCGCTGTGGTGTACGCATTTGACAAGTTCCGACCCTATCTGGTCCTCTCCCATGTGGTGGTCTACACTGACCACTCGGCGATTCGCTACCTGATGAGCAAGGCTGATGCTAAGCCTAGGCTCATCCGATGGATCCTGCTGCTGCAGGAGTTTGATATCGAGATCCGGGACAAGAAAGGAGCCAAGAATGTTGCTGCAGATCATCTCTCACGGTTGGAAGCCCCTCTGGTGGACAACTTTGAGGAAGAGATCGACGACTCCTTCCCAGGTGAGCGATTGTTGGCGATGACCCTGGTGGACAGCGTGGCCCCTTGGTATTCTGACTTTGCCAATTATCTGGTGGGCAAGCAGTTACCCAAGGGGATGGCTACTCATGCAAAGCGCAAGTTCTTCTCCGATCTGAAGCATTACTTCTGGGAGGATCCTTACCTCTTCAGAATCGGAGCAGATGGCGTGATCCGGCGCTGTGTCATGGAGCATAAGATGGGAGACATCCTGTCTCAATGCCACGAGGGACCTACTGGAGGTCACCATGGAGGAAACCGCACGGCGCGAAAGGTGCTACAGTCGGGCTTCTATTGGCCCTCGCTTTTCAAGGATGCAGACACCTTCGCACGATAGTGCGACCGCTGCCAAAGGTCATGTAACATTTCTGCCCGGGATGAGATGCCCCAACATATATCTGTTATTTGTGAAATTTTTGATGTTTGGGGTATCGATTTCATGGGCCCATTCCCTCCATCTTTTGGCCATCTATACATATTGGTTGCAGTGGACTACGTCTCGAGGTAGGCAGAAGCTCAAGCCATGCCCACCAATGATGCAAGACGGGTCTGCTCATTTCTGAAGCAGCTGTTCTCCCGGTTTGGGACACCCCGCGCCATCATTAGTGATAGAGGAACCCATTTTCAAGGGCAATTCACTAAACTCCTCTCTCGCTATGGTGTTAAGCATCAGGTGTCGGTGGCCTACCATCCCCAGTCAAATGGGCAGGCCGAGCTGACGAACCGGGAGCTAAAACGAATTATTGAAAAGACGGTGGATCAGTCCCGCAAGGATTGGTCCACCAAGCTCGATGATGCTCTTTGGGCGTATAGGACTCCCTATAAAAATCCGATTTGCACTTCTCCCTATAGGCTTGTCTATGGAAGGCGTGCCATTTGCCGGTAGAGCTAGAGCACAAGGCCTTCTGGGCCATTAAGCTGCTAAACCTAGATTTGAGTGTTGCAGGTACAGAACGTAAGTTGCAGCTGCTGGAGTTGGAGGAGTGGCGTTACCACGCCTACGAGAACACCCTGCTCTACAAAGAGCGCACCAAGCGTGTTACATCCCAGTCGAATACAAGTGTTTGTACCTCAATACCTATCCAACAATTCTAATTTCGAGGACGAAATTTTTATAAGGGTGGAGGAAATGTAACACCCTGACATTTGAGCTCAGGTTCGATCATGATAAATTATCGATTGGATAGACGATTACGTACGAATGGTTACAATTGCGAATTAGGAATAATAATAATAATAATATATTATTATTATTAGTAAAACAAAACAACAACAACAACAACAAAAAACCACCCCACCCCACGTCACCCCCACCCCATTTGTACACCACCCCACCTCTCCCTCTCTTTACCGTTACCTTCCAATTAATCCCCACCCTTTCCAAGTATAATGGAATCGATCTCATTTATACCCATCCATCAACTCACCCGCCAACATCTCATTTACACCCCGTCCCTTATCTCGTGAACTCGTCAGGGCACCCCCATTCTCACTCATGTATAGATAATGGAAATAACAATTTCCATACTTCTCGCATAATACCTACATCTCCATGTGTAGTCCCCTGTCTTTTGTATAAGTCCAGTACAAGCTAGCATACAAGTCAATAATTTTCATAAACACAAGAGGAACTCATCAACCACTCCACTATCAATTCCATTCTCTCATTCTTGGTTTCCATATCACCTCCTTTTCCCCATGTGCCCGGACTGTAAACAAATAAGCACAAGCCTTCCGTCTGGTTCCTTTTCCCCTCGCATAAAGACCCGGCCGGTGGAGAAAAGAAGCTCTCCGTAAGCTTTCCTCGACCAAAGGCAGCAACGTCGGCCCCTCGACCGGGAACGCCACCGGGAATCCCCTGGTCGCGTCGATTCCGCCAAAACCCACGACCAGAAGCTTTTCTTTGCACTCCAGTGGGTAAGGGTCTCGATCCCAATCGAACTCCGGGCTTAGTTTAAACAGCAAATAACCCCAACTCATGTATGTATCCTCATAGTTTGACGACAACATCGCGATGGACTTGAACGACGTTCAACGAAGGGGAAACGACATTCCAAGCCAGAAAATCTAGCTTTAGGCTCGTTCTGGAGGTAAGGAGTTCGACCTCATCGATTAAAGCCGAGTTATGGGTTGTTCTATACGTATATACGTTGTTGTTTTTTTAGCGACAAATATTGCAGTCTTTTAGTAACGAAATAGATTTAGTCGCTAAAGACTGTTGAGCAACTTTCCAGATCAGTCCCACAACGTGTTCAGTATATACAGCTTAGTCCCTCAGAGTTTTAATTTTTGATAATTTGGCCCGAAAATCGTATTTTTCATGGTTATGTTAATTTCTGACACTTTTCCGTGGATATTTTCATAATATGATAATTTTATAAATTTGAGAATATTTTTATGATGCTCTTGTATAAATTTTAGAATTTTTGGATCTGTATTTGTAATTATAAAAATCGAACGAATGTCAGTTTTAATTAATTAAAATAATGTACGAAGTCGTTTTGGTGAGTTGATAATTTTCCATGAAACTAGAATTATTTATTGATGTTATAAAATTATTAATCAGAATTATTAGTTTTCGTTACTTGGTTTAAAAATTATATATGATTAATTTTAATAGGAAAAAGAGGTTATTTAAAAGAGGGGCTTATGTTTATTAATTGGGATTAATGATTTGAGTTAACCAAGGTCAGAATGTGGAGTCTTAAGTGGAAAATATATTTTGCAAAATTTATGAGAATTGTATGAGAATTATTTTAAGAAATATTGAATTGCTTGAGATGATTTAATTCTTGATTAAAGAGGTTGAAAAGTTTAGTTTTGAAGAAATGATTTAAAAGTGATTGAGGGTCATTTTTAAAGGATTTTGGGACTAAGTAATCAATGAGGGAAATTTTCCCCATGCGTTAAAGGGACTAAATCTGAGGATTACCAACTAAGGGAAGATTATTTCAGTTTATAGGATTGAGGAAGCGATCGGATTAAGGATTTCACGTCAAGGGAACTAAGAATTGTCATTTGAGAGGTGAGTGGTTTAAGGGGGTAAATTCTATGCCTTACTTATCTTCAAGTATTTGACTTACGAGTTTTAAGTAAATGTGTTTATGTGAATTGTATACCAGTGAATAATTTATGTCGTGATTGATAAAGCAAGTTATATTTGATATATTATCTGAGATGCCCTATTTGAGTTATGATTGTGAAGTATATGATTATTTGAGCTTTCGGTATTTACTTGATGCTTTTAAATTTATGTTTATTTAATGAAGGTTGCTTGATCTTTAAGGATCAACATTTAAAAGGTATTTCACTCCTAATTAAATTAGGGTGAAAAGATTTAAAGGTAGTTCACTAACGCCAGTCCCCCGCCCTAGTGTAAGTTTAAAGGAAGAGCAATTGTTTGCTCTTAAGGAACATGTGGGTGAATCACTTAGACATCACATGAAGTTTAAAGGAAGAGTATGATATACTCTTAAGGTTTATGGGGTTGAATCGATTACTCCCATAAAAAGGTTTAAGGAAAGGTCTTTATTGGCCCTCATACGTATGAGCTGGGCGGCTGGACTAGTTAGTGAGGGGATCCCAGTGTCGGTCAAAGGTTTACGATTTTGAGGGTGGCGAGTAACAACAACTCCCACGTTTCTTTTTAAAGCGTTAAAGTATTAAAGGGTGGAAGTATAAATAACTTCCACAAGTTTTGAGGCGAACACTTAGGGGAAGCACCCGTAAGTGCTTCAAATTTAAGTAATGGCGTAGACTGACCCCAACCCACTCACCAGGTCGTAGAGAATGAGCTAGGGAGCATCCAGTGAGAGAGCAGGCTACTAGAGGAGGACCACGTGAACACTTCTGAAGATGTCTGACCACGGATCGGAGTAAGCATCATTTGTAATCATTAGTTATTTGCTTTATGATTATGAGTAATGACTGGAAAAATTTTAAAAGAATAAGACTTTATGGATTGAGGTTTGCCCAAATGTTAGGGCTTTGCTTTTAAATTATAAGGTGTATTTTCAGTATTGGTATTTCGAGCACATTATTGTTTCTTTCTTTCAAAAATTTTAATATGCTCCGGAGCAAAATTGTTATTTAAGGGTTTTAGAGATCGGGATGTGACAAAGCGTCTCCACGACGCAAGGTTGAGGGGCCCGAAGGAGTTTCAGGTAGGTGATCGTGTTCTGCTCTTCAATGCACGCCTGAAACTCTTCCCGGGCAAGCTCCGTTCAAGGTGGTCGGGACCCTTCACGGTCACCCAGGTTTTCCCGCGTGGTGCGGTGGAGATCAGCAATGCTCAAACCGAACCATTCAAGGTGAATGGCCACCTCCTAAAGTTGTATTTGGGAGGTGCTGTCGAGCGCGCAGAGCTGCTGATCAAGCTCGAGGACCCTTAGTTACTCTACTGGCGTCCAGCTAAAAGACAGTAAAGAAGCGCTTGTGGGGAGGCAACCCCACAGAGGTTTGCATTTTCTTACATTTTTCCTTTTGTTTTTTTTTTTGTGTTTTTGAGTCTTGAGATGTTGTTCCAGAGTCGAATGTCGTTTTTGGGTGAAAACAGGTTGGATTCGGGGCTCCAGCAGCTCACACGGCCAGGCCATATTCTCGCACGGCCGTGTGGATTTTATCCCCTGGCCGTGTGAGCCCTCGACAAATTCCACACGGACAAAAGTGCAATTCGCACTGCCGTGTGGATTGCCCTGGCCTGGCCATGTGGCCGACACGGGCAACTCGTCTGCTCGCACGGCCGTGTGGATTTTTTTCAATGGCCGTGCGAGCTCTCGACAAATTCCACACGGCCAAAAGTGCAACTGGCACGGCCGTGTAGTATTCCTCGGCCAGGCCGTGTCGGCCAACACGGGCAAACTTGCACCCCGCACGGCCGTGCGAGCCTGCCCGTGTGGCCGAGCCACGGCCTATATATTCGGCCAGCACGGCCGAGTGGTCATAATTTTGAAAAATCCTCGCCGGAATCCTCTGAACCTCGCCGAAAAACCGCGACAATACCCCCCATTTTGATTTTTTCGGCCATTTTTTGTCATTTTTCCACCAAACCAACAACAAACCCACCCTCCCTACACCAAAAGCGGCCTATCCCTCCATTTTGAGCAGATTTGGCCGACGTTTTTGTCGCCGGAGGCGATTTCCGGCGAGACTCCGACGAGCACTTCCGGGCACTTTTTCGGCGTTTCGTAACTTCTATCGCCTTCCCCTCATCATCCCCTACACCTCTACTTGAGTCTCCAGGTTTGGTTTTGCCCTTAACTATGTTAATTGTGGAGAATTGGGTGTTAGGGTGCATGTTTAGAGTACCTCATTGAATCTTATGATTTTTATGCAATTGATTGAGGGGAATGCATGGAGTGTGTTTGAATTGTGTTGGGAAAAGTCCCTCTTGATTGTTTGAGCCCTTGTGTACAAGAATTGTGCCGATTTCATGCTTACCTTAATAGTGCACACAAGGTGTTCGATGATATGCCTGTTTTTCATGCTATGTTGTGGGCACCGGTTGTGACCCTTATTGATGTGCGTTGAGGGTGTGTTTGCTATGGATGTGAACCTTAAGTTGCCTACTTTATCGTGAATGTGCACCCCCACTCAGATTATGCTTGATTTATCGAGTTTTTGACCCCCAAACTATGGATGATACCATGGCTCGGCTGTTTTCAGTTCTTAAGTGTGGGGGTGTAATTGACCCTTTCTTTGGCTCTTTTGGTTCCACTTTGGGTTGTTCTTTTGTAGGACAATGTCGAAACCTGACCTCAAGCACCCGTTCATCTGGGATTTGAAGAGGGGGCCCGCCCAGGATCTCTTCAAGCAGGTCCTGAAATGCCCGTTTGGGCTGCACCATTGCTGGTCCAAAGTCCAAACGGGAGTTTCGGACATTGCACTGCCACGAGCAACTCTCCGCCGCCGTCACCAACCACTCATGGCGCCGTCTGCTCTCCATCTGCGAGAAGGTTTACTATGAGCCCGTGCTTGAGTTCTACACGACCTTCAAGCACACACCCACGGACGATTGGAGAGACGGTGCAGCCGTCAAATTCAGGCTAGGCGGCGCCCCACGGTCCCTGAGCTACCACGAGCTGGCCGAGGCTCTCGACCTCGACGACGGTGCGGACTACGTCACCGAGGTCAACGACCCGCCGGAGGTGGACTTTAGGAGGCTGTACACCCGCTTGGCTCGGCCAGGCCAGACACGTCCCTTCTCGGCCGGGAGCACGAAGGCCACTACACTGCAGCTCGACAACCGCCTTCTCCACCACCTGTTGGCGAAGTCTTATACTCTAGCTTCAGACAGTGCCAACGCCATCACTAAGAGGGCCCTGTACCTCCTCCAGTCAATCCGCCAGGACGACCATCCCCTCCACTTGGGTTCGGTGGTGGCCAGGACCTTCGAGAAGACTGCTTCGGAACTGAAGAGTCTCCACTGCGCCCCCCTCATCACCCGCCTGGCCACCTACTTCGGCCTTTCCCTGCAGGGGTGCACACAGCAGGGGGACACCATCGTTTTTGGCAGGTCGAGGATCAAGCACATGCACCTGCTGCGCGAGAACCGCGGCATTCTATGGATAGAGGGGTTTCCGGACCCTCAGATCCCCGCGGAGGACCAGCAGGAGGTCCAGCCAGAGGGCCAGGAGGATGAGGCTGCTAATCATATGGAGCCCGAGGATGTGGACGCTGTTGTTGATCCACCACAGCCTCACTTCCATTACGGAGGTGGCAGCTCCGCTTTCCCGGGGCAGGATTACTTCACCTCCCAGTTAGAGCAGCTGCATCTCCAGAACCAGCAGATCCTCGACCATCAGATGCAGTTCCAGCAGCAGTACGCGGCTCACCAGGCCGGGTACCACCAGAGGATGGCTGTTTACGATGAGAGATTGGACCACATCCAGACCCAGCAGGGAGTGACTCTCGCACACATCGAGCGAGAGAGGCGCCATTCACGCCGCATGCAGGAGGTCCAGCAGCATTTACTCCGGCTGCTACCGGGCGAGCAGCCCGTTTGGAGGACTCCCTGGGAGGACTCTCCACTTCCACCTCCCCTCGCGGATGGTGATGATGGTGCCGCTGGTGATGACGCCTTCATGGACGACATCGACTTTGGTGATCTTGGCGACGAG